TCCCTTCCCTCCCTCTCCCCACCCTGGAAAGTGAGGCAATTTGATTCCCTCGTAAGATCCCTCGTGCACGGCCAGGAGCCCTGACATGCTGAAATCCTTAAGTTTTTGACCCGCAAGGATTTTTCCAGGTGTTTGCTGCAGATGATAGCAGAGTCCTGTGTGACATATGGCTGTTTATTGAAAATATTTTATTGCTTTCCAAAAATCAGTTTTAATAAACTCCAAAGAGATACAGTAAGTAGACCAGCAAAATTATTTAACAAACTCAATTATCTGGCATTTTCTTTCTCTGCAGGAAGAGAGCCGTTCTGTAAGAACAAGCTGAGAAGACCTGATTTTGCCATAGTTCATAGAGGCTGAGCTCCTCTGACTGCACAGCATTTATGCTTAAGTTCCAGTAGAACTTCAGGTGAAATCAATGAATCAATCCATTGGTTTCAGCTGGAGTTTGATCAGCACCTTGCACCTGAGTCAGGTAAGAATAAGATCAACAGTTTTCAGAGGCTAACCAAGCCACTAACTGCACAGCCATGCAGTCTTTGCCAAGGAAAAGTCCTCAAGTTGCTTTGAAACTTCTTTTCACCTTCTCCCGGTCAGCAGCTACCACTCTGCGCTAATTCTGCACTCTGGAGGAAACGTACCATGAGATGCATACAGTTATGCTATAAGGCAAGAGACCAGCTTCTAGCATCCTCAAATGCAGTGCAGATGATTCTCCTGAAATTCATACTCTGCATGAGATAACATGGGAAGGGAGGGTCTTCCATAACGCTCCAGCACTCCTATATTAGATATTATTAGAGTCATCGAAATGGTAGTTCCACCCTCACATTGACTGTGAAATACAGAAAATGGTGTCTCATGTGATGGCTTTTCTTTTTAGTGTTGGGTTCTGTGACCTCCATTTTGAGAAGACATACCAGAAGGTAGCCCCGGCTCCCGAGGCCATGCTTTGCCTCACCTATTTTAGAAAGTCCCCTGTATTCACGTATCTGAATAAATCTCCCCTTCTCCCTCTCCCACTTCAAGTTTCATGCAGTGTTTTTGCCCCAACATGTAATTATGAAACTCTTCACATTACTCTGTGCCCCAAACTGAAGGTATTAACTCCCAGTGAAAGGAAAAAAGCTGTGTTATTCTGGGGCCAGTCTGTCACCGATATAACGCTTTCTCTGGTCATGTCTGATCTTCAGTGAAAGCTGGCAGTGTCTGTGAGTGAATATTTTACTTCTGGGTGACTGCGGTTTGTAAGTCAGCTCTGCACTGGGGTATTTTAGCAGTATCCATGAAAGACGAATAAGTCACCCCTGCAGCTGGGAAACGTTTCCCATTCCCCAATTTGACCTGTACGTCATTTTCCAGCAAACACCTTCCTAGTGAGCACGTAACTGCTTGACCTGCACGGGAGTCAGAAGCGAGTGTGATTCTTGCAGCCCTCGTGGGGGGACTGCCCCGGCGCTGCCTCTTCCGAGGCAGCCGTGCCCACCCCGTTGGGCACAGCATGGCTGTGATTCAGGTGTTCTTCCTGGCCTTTTGTGGTGCAAGTGCCACTCTTAGGAGCCAACCTGTGTTTCTTCTGCACCTGCTCCAGTATCTGCAGCACCTGGAATTAATAAACACAGCTGTGAGTGGGTTAGTAATTAGGCGAAAGCACTAATTTCTTCCCCAGCTATTGAAATAATGCCTTATTCTCTTTCAAGCTGCATGTCTGGGCTCAGCCTTGGGATTACACTAAGTATTTCTGTCTGCTCAGAGGTCTCTGGGACAGGTGTAAATGGAAAGCCTGCCCCATGGAGGTCCATGACCTTGGATCTCAGAGCTCTTTCTGCCAACGAATCGGTCCCGCCTCGCACATTCCGCAGCAATGTGCTTAGCGCAGAGAGGTGCAATGGTGGTCCGGAGGCAGGATCAGGACACAGGCAATGTGGAGCTCTGTTTTTCTGCTCTTTCACACCACCCTATGATATCTCCTCATGTTGTCACAGATTTCTTCACCTCCTTATGGAACTAGGAAAACCCCAGTCTGAAACCCACATGATGGAGAAAGGGAGCAGAAATAAAATCAAGATTGATTTTACCTGAGACTTAGGGATGATACCGACTCTGAAGAACCCTATGTTTCCACTGTCGATTTTGGTGCAGTCCACAACGGTGGAGGCGATGTTCTCTGGAGAAGGCCCATCACAGAGAACTGCATCCACCTGAAGAGCAATAGATGTTCACAGCAAGTTCCCCTCAGGCACTTGGGAAAAGGGAGGGCAGTCTCCCCCTCCCAACAGCAGGTAATTATTATCAAAGGCAACTCTGCTCCTTCCCACCCCACTGTACTGACACTAAGGGCTGAATGTGGAAGGAATTAATTTAATATAAGCAAAGAGAGAGAGAGCTCTATGGGGTCTAGGTCAGCAGTACAGCAAAGACAGGTTTACATCAACTAAGGAGCTTTGAAGAAGTCCCATCTACAAAGCAAATGTGTAGAAAACCAGATTTTTGAGGAGTTAGAGGTGGAAGATTTGTACCACTCTTTGTTTAAAATTGCCCTCACATAAGCTGCCACGAATACACAAAATGTAGTACAGTCAGGATTTTGCAGTGAAATGAAAGCCATGTGAATGGCCATGACCATTGTACATCCAGAACTTAGGAAAGTTCTAAAAGCCAGGAATATTTTAGAGCTTTGGCACCAGTTTTAGACCAGCTTCAGCTTTAGATGGGAACCCCCTGTGTTCCAACAACTCAACGCCAGCTGGAGCCCTGGTGCATTCAGGCATCAGTGGTTTTATTGCTTGTAAGCAAAGAAGCATTGTTTTGTTGCTCATATCATTCTTTGTTGGAAGATGAACTAACTCACATTGCCAAGCCAAAACTATACTGTGTAAATCAGAAGAATTTTGGTTTCCCACCAAGTTCTGTATGTCACACTTTCACTGTGACACCAACATGAGGAGTGTCCATGAGATTTTTTTAATGAGATGCTTTCCCAGATTCTTGATATCATCTATTGATTTGCCTACTGGAAACAAAGTGGTTGCATTCTTCCATCCCCACATCTTTTGGGACCAGGCAGAATGAAAAGACACAGGACCCCAACTACCTTGTCTCCCAGCTTGGCATACACTTGGTTGTGGTGTGTTGTGTCTGCCTCTCCCGTTGGGTTAGCTGATGTGACCACAATGGGGCCAACCTGGTGACGGAAAAATGGGAACAAAAGCTCTGAGCAGGTTTTGCTGTATAGAACAGATGACTTGAACACTGAAGTTCACTTGTGAGCCTCTGCGACTCTAAAGAGAACTCAGTGTGACTCACCCAGGTAGAGACACCTACTTTGTAGGCAACTACAGTCCCACCAAACCTGTGTAC